ATTTTCATAACAAAAACTTGAATGGTCGTGGAGTGGTTAGGCGTAGGCCTTCTCCTATCCCGAGTGCTGACGTTTACCGTAGGGTTCTCTGTCGCAAAGCACTTACCATTCAAAACCAGAAACATCTTTAATAAGATAACGAAGTTCCCTTTGTATTGAATTAAAGAGAGAGGATTGGGTGTAGACCTCTTCTTCTCCGAGCGTTGGGATGCCCACTGTAGTGAGGGTGGTTTCGACGCTCGTCTTTCAATACGAAGACGCCTCGTTCGCCACACCTTTTTATAACAAAAACTTTGAGACAATGAATTGGGTACTACCCGTAGGGGTTACTATCCGAGGACCTATCTCGCCCCAAAAACAATCTCATCAATCAAACATGACACCTTGCCTCGCATGGCGAAAACCAGTCTCCCAAAGGATATGTTACGTCCGTTCTACCGCAAACAGGTAACGCATAAGTCTCCTCACATGCGAGCAGCAAAACACCTAAACTGCTAGAACGCGTACGATAACATCATCCACAAAACACACCGGTTATCCTCACCGTAGGTACGAACTACGTTGCTCTGATTTCTCATGCATATTGAGAATACGTAGGCATAGGATTGCGATATCCTAGCGAGCACCCTTTTTTCTTTTTCACCCCTTTCCCAGAAGGCATGCTACGTCCGTTCTACCGCAAACAGGTAAGGCCTAAGTCTCCAACGAGCGAGCAGCAATACACCTAAACTGCTAGAATGCGCACGATAGCATCGTCTACCAGAACTTCCCCGCTTCCCCGCACACCGTAGGCCGAACTACGGCTGCTCTGATTCTTTACTTCTTTCAAGTAAAGATACGTAGGCACAAGGGCCACAATCCTTGTCGAGCACACTTCCCCCCATATTTGTAGTTCCCCGAACTACGTCGACTCTGACTTTCTCATCCGTTGAGAATACGTAGGCCTAGGACTGCGAAGTCCTATCGAGTCTGTTCTTTCTCTTTTTCCCTGTTCTCTCTTTCCTCCTAACTTTCCTGTTTCTAACCCTTCTTTTACCCTGTGGAATACTTCTTATAGCATAATGTTTAAGCAAATAAATTCACACATCGACAAACAAAAGGTTCCCATCGAGTACGATGGATGCGAGGGGTGCTAATACCTTCCCCTCGCATAACCGGCTTCCGAACCCGTTCTTGGTCGCGAAACCATCTTATCTATTTCTTTCTTAAGGTTTTCTCGATATTTTCCTTTCCCCTCACGGGATGAATAAAGTTCGGTGGCGACTCTTCTGTCTATCTTTTTCGCCTTCCCGTCGTTGCGCGACGCATTTTTCGAGTAGCGACAAACATAAATTGAAGAATTGGACCTAATATATTTTTTATATTATTTGAGGATAAAATTTATTATTTTCTTCTTCTTTTTTACAATACTATACATGTTTTTTTTTATAATTTTAGTAGCTGCTATTTTTATGTTAAATTTTATTTTTTTCAAGTATTTATTTTTTGTTTTTGGTTAATTTGGTCATAAATAGCAACTTTATTTTAATTTTGCACTTTTTGTAATGTAGTTGAATTTAAATATTATCATATAAAAAATATTAATATAATGTATGCTTAATTGTATAAAAAAGGAAAAAAAATATGTTTTATTTGTGAAAAATGTTTAAATTACGGCGGTTAAAACTGCCATTATCAACGACAAAAAACCACTTTTTTATTTAATATATATTATGACATGAGAAATTTTATTCAAAAGTACTATTTTTCTGCATTTTCGTTAATTGTGGTGGTTTTAATCGCCACAACAGAACTTATTAACCGCCACAATTTTCATATTCTTTTATAAAAGAAGGCAAAATTTTGGAGCCGAGCCCGGGCACATGCCCAGCCTGGCCGGGCCTTAAAACCGCCCATGTCCTGAGGTACCTTCCTCTTGATCCTCTGTGCTGGCCATCAGCGCAACATTAACACATTCTTCTTCTGATTCAGAAGATGATTCAGATTCATCTGAGTCATCCCATGTTGCCATCAGAACCTTCTTCTTTTTGTTAAACTTCTTATTGGGTTTTTCCTTCTGAAGTTTGGGGCAATCATTCTTGTAATGCCCAGGTTCTTTGCATTCATAGCACACAACTTCTTTCTTGCCAGATCTTCTGTGCCCAGGAGATTCCTTTCTATTATCAGATCTTCTGAAGTTGTTGAACTTCTTTCCCTTGTGCTTCCAGAGTCTGTTGATCCTTCTGGACATCATGGATAATTCATCTTCTTTTTCAGAAGAAGATTCTTCAGAGCTTTCTTGAATAACCTGCAAAGCTTTAGCAGTTTTGTTAGATTTTAAGGCAACAGATTTACCTTTTTCTTTCTTCTGAGGTTCATCTTCCTCAAGCTCAATCTCATGGCTCCTCAGTGAGCTGATGAGTTCTTCTAAAGAGATCTTGTTCAGATCTTTATCCATCTTCAAGGCAGTCACCATTGGTCTCCATCTGGTAGGCAGACTTCTGATGATTTTCTTTACGTGATCTGATGTAGAGTATCCCTTGTCCAGAACTTTCAGCCCAGCTGTGAGTATCTGAAATCTGGAGAACATGGCTTCAACAGATTCAGAGTGTTCCATTTTGAAGGCCTCATACTTCTGGATCAGAACCAGAGCTTTTGTCTCCTTAACTTGAGAATTTCCCTCATGAGTCATTTTTAGGGATTCAAACATATCAAAAGCAGTTTCCCTGTTTGTAATTTTTTCATACTCAGTATGTGAAATTGCATTCAATAATATAGTCCTGGCTTTGTGATGATTTCTAAAATCTTTCTTCTGAGCATCTGTCTTAGATTTTCTGCCAATCTTCTTGCCATTCCCATCCGTGGGATTGACATATCCATCTATGACTAGATCCCATAGATCAACATCATATCCTAGGAAAAAACTCTCAATTCTGTCTTTCCAGTAGTCAAATTTCTCCCCATCAAACATAGGGGGTTTGGTGCTGATCCTGTCCCTTTCTTCATATTTATTGTTAATATTGGATATTGAATTATCAGCCATTGTAACAAATAAATATATATCAAAGTATTTCTCTCTGGATCTTTACTGACACTGTTAAGTGGTAGCACACACAGAACCGGAGCTCTGATACCAATTGAAGGTGAGATAATACTTAGAAGGGAGGTTGAATAAGTATGAAAGATTAAGACTTAAAAAATAACACAATTATTTTTATCCTGGTTCGTTGAAATCAACTACTCCAGTCCACCCTTCCTAGAGTGATTTACCTTTCTCAACAAGGACTTAATCCACTATTTAATCAAACAGATTACAATAGTAACACCTAAGAACAAATGTTCTTAGTCTTCTCAAGAGCTACTGATTCCAACTGAATCCTCTTAAGGAAAACCTTTACAATCAATGTAAAACAAATACAAGAGTATTAATGCTTCTATAAAGCTTTTATCACAACAGTGATTTTTCTCTTAAGTTTAAGTACAAGAAATTCTAAGAAGAATATGAAAGAATGAGAGCTTTGAATATTATGAATTCTTTTCAGCAAATTGTGTTTTTGAAGAAATTGGTGGAGTCTTCCTTTTATAGGCAGCTGATCCAAGGATGCTGAGCGTTGAGAAGAGTGTCCCAAAAGGTCTGAGCCTTTTTGTCTTCACATCAAGTGACCTTTTCTAGAAGTAGAAGACACAGAAAAATCCTTTTTGTCTGTGTTCTTGTGTCTAGCACAAATGATGAAAGAGACGTTTGATTTACTCCAACGGATATAATCTTTGAATATTTCTTCCTCAGTTTTCAGCAAGTTCTTCAGAATCTGAATGAGTCAGAGTCTTCTAATGATGTTCAGAACTTTGCTGTATCAGAGTCTTCTGCAGCATGTGTGATTTCAGCGTGTTGATCATTAGAGCATATTTGACACAGAACTTCAGTACTTGGCAGCGTTAGTACTTTTAGAAACTTCTGTAGAAACTATGTTTTGAGAAACTCTTCATACAATATTCTTCTTTGCTTCAGATGCTTCTGACTAGTTTCAGATGCTTCAGCTTCAGAATCTGTTTCAGATGCTTCAGCTTCAGAATCTTCTGGAGCTTCTTGCTTCAGATCCTTCTGGAGACTACACTCAGGATCTTCTGTAAACAACAATCAGAATCTTCTAATGAGTGCATCTGGCGCTTCAGAGTATAGATAACTTCTTGTATACAATTCAGATTTGCTTCTAGAGAGTTAATTTCATATCAATCTGCAGTAAAACTCACAAGCAAATTTTAGAGTATATAATTCTTAAATATAAAATTTCCTAACAGTTATCATCAAAACAAAGAGATATTATTAAGATCCAATCTGTGTTCTAACAGAAAGATGATTAACAAAGAGAGTGAAGAGTAAGAAGAGGAAAGTGAAAAGTGAAAAGTGAAAAGTGAAAAGTTAATTACATCTGTCATTGGGGGAAGAGAAAAGAGAAAAAGTTGAATTGATCAAATTAGTTTGGAACCAGATAGAAGTATGTGACATCATCAAATGAACAAACAATAGCTTAATTGTATAAACATGTAGTTAAAATAGAACAAATTGATATCATCATTGAAAAAAATAATATTTAAACACAAATTACCCCCAATTTAATGAGATGACATAATAAAAAGATAAAATATTAGATGATTTTTCAAAACATCAAATTTTCTTATTTATATTATAGATTGAATGGTAAAAAATATTACTAAATTCTATATTATAAACAAATTTTATTTTTTATGTATTTGATTTGTATATATCAGATATATTAATTATTCAACACATCTAAAAAAAAAATTAACAAATCTAAAAAGTAAAATTTGTTAATTTTATAAATAAAAATTGGAATTGATAAAATTGAATCCGTTAAACTTTTCGCTAGTCTGTAGAAGCAAAACCCTGAACCTAAAATCTCAAACCCCTTCGAAATCGAACCCGCTCCTCCTCATTTTCAAAACCAAAAACAAAAGAAGCTCTAATCTCCACTCCTGGGCTCGCTTGCAAGATTGCGACAATGTCGGGTTTCTCATTCGGATCTTCATCTTCCACTCAATCTTCATCCTCATCCCCATTTTCATTCGGGTCATCCCCCTCATTCGGATCCTCTTCCCCTTTCTCCACCACCACAAACCCTACCTCCGCCGCTTCTTCTTCTCCTTCCCCTCTTTCTTTCGCATTCGCATCCTCTTCCTCTTCCGCCTCCACTGGCTCTGCCTTCAACTTTGGATCCTCTTCGTTCACTGCACCTTCTTCTCTATTCGGCTCATCATCGGCTTCTTCCGCGCCGGCTTCCTCAGCTCCTTCCATTTTCGGTTCTGCTACCACAGGATCGTCACTGTTTTCATCATCCTCATCTTCTACGACGCCGTTTGGTGGAGCTTCCCCAGCTGCAACGAATCTTTTTGGAGGAGCATCATCGGTTTCAGCAACTGCTTCCACACCGCTGTTTGGAGGAGCTTCTACGGCTTCAACTACTCTGTTTGGTGCACCGTCCTCGGCTTCTTCGACACCGTTCGGAGCACCGTCCTCGGCTTCTTCGACACCGTTCGGAGCACCGTCCTCAGCTTCTTCGACGCCATTTGGAGCACCGTCATCTGCTTCTACGACGCCATTTGGAGCATCGTCGTCGGCTTCCTCGATATCTTCAAGTCTGTTTGGAGCACCGTCGTCGGCTAGCTCGACATCTTCAAGTCTGTTTGGAGCACCGTCGTCGGCTTCCTCGACATCTTCAAGTCTGTTTGGAGCACCGTCTTCGGCTTCTTTGACTTCTTCAAGTCTGTTTGGAGCACCGTCCTCGGCTTCTTCGACTTCTTCAACGCTGTTTGGGGCACCGTCCTCGGCTTCTTCGACTTCTTCAACGCTGTTTGGGGCACCGTCCTCGGCTTCTTCGACTTCTTCAACACAGTTTGGGGCACCGTCATTAGCTTCTTCGGCTTCGACTCCGTTTGGATTTACATTGTCATCGGCTTCAATCACACCGTTTGGAGGAACTTCATCTGCTTCATCGACATCAACTCTGTTTGGTGGAACAGGTTCGGGAACAACTACGCCGTTTGGGGGATCTTCTACTGCTGCTGCACAATCGTTTGGAGCCTTTGCTGGTTCGTCAGTTACTTCTTCAGCTACAACTACAACAACTCCGTTTTCTAATGCGTTCTCTACAAATGCTTCTTCAGCTTCAACCACCACTACCTCTTTTTCAGCATTTTCAAAACCCTCTGCTCCAGCAAGTACCACAACTTCGGCTAGCCCATCGGGATTCACCTTAGGAAATACAACTTCCTCTGCTTCTCAACCCTCATTTGGGTTCGGTAATGCACCTTCCTCTACAGCTTCTTCATCTGCCTCCACGGTTTCCGGTACACAGGTGGCTTCCAAGCCGGCGGGTTCTTTCTCGTTCACAACATCTTCAGCACCACTGTTTTCGACGGTGACTACGACTACAGCCTCGACAACCACGACTGGGGCTGCAGTTGTTTCGGCTTCTGTGCCAGCCTTTGGTGCCACTGCTGCATCTTCTGCTTCAGCGAGCGGCGGCTTTTCATTGACAGCTACTCCGGTGGCATCTACAGGTGCTGGCTCATCGTCAGCCAGTGGAGGATCATCTTTTGCAGGTTTTGGTGTAGGAAGCACTGCATCTACTGCATCAACTGTTTCTTTTGGGACCGGGTTTTCATTTGCTAACAAGGCTTCAACTCCTGCCGTTTCGGCAGCTACTGCTCCTGCATTTGGTAAGCCATGTTTTTGGCATTGAGATCATGTTTAATGCTCTGTATTTAAGGGGTGCATGAATTGTCTCTATTACTGTCAGAATGGAGTATTTTTACTTTCATATATGATTTTTTTTTATATTTGAATTTATTTGATGCTTGCAAAAATGAAGTTGTGTAATAGAATGTGGTAGATTGAAAATGTTGAGCGAGTAACTGAGATGTAGTATAGGGTGGAGGGAAGGGGAATTATTCAAAGAACATGTTACAACTTAGGCGAATTGGATTTGGGTTCAAAGATCCAATTGGCTTGTTCTTTGTTGGTTACATCTTATTAGTTGAACTTGTTAGAGTTTGTTAGTTATGTATTTAGTTACTCCTCTAATTGCAGTAGGAGAAAAATTAGAGAATGTAAGTGAGGCGAGTTAGTTGATCCGTTAGGTTCTCAAATCTTTGTGGATGATCATGATACTATCACGTATGATTCTTTCTTTTCTTGACTCTCAATGTTTATTCATTCATGTGTGATATTCACTAAATTGTCCTTAATCTATTTCTGTTAATCTCTATATTCTGAATTTGTATCTACAGTAATTCAATGTAAAGACAGTGGGATGGTGAATTTTACAAGTAGAATGTGTTGTATGACAAACTTGGAAGGGTTTGTGAGTTGTTTTGATTCATTGATCATTATTATATTATTTGTTTTTACTTCTGGTAGGATATCCATTATTTTTTGCATTAGTTTGAGAGATTGTTGGTCAATTTAAAACTAAACCGAACCGAACCGAACTATAGTAAAAGTTTATTCGAACTGAACCGAACAGTTTCAATTTACTCAGAACCGAACCGAACCAAAATAATTGGTTTGGTATACCATTTAAAAATTCCGAACTGTACCAAACTGTTAGAAGACAATTTTTTCCGAACCGAACCGTATATTAAAGAACCGAACCATTAAACTAATTTTCAATTTAAAAAAAAAAATTTTAAAACTTATTTTTAGTATTTTTCATTTTCAATTTTGGTTCTGTTCGGTTTCAGTTTCGGTTATAGTTTCGGTTCGGTTCGGTTATAGTTTTGGTTCGGCTCTAGAACCGTACCGTTTTATGTAATATGGTTTGGTTCACTAACCAAATATAACGGTTTGGTTATTTTAACTTCAGTTCGGTTCAGTTTATGGTTTTTTTGAACAACCCTAGCTACACCATGTTTAATTATGTTTCAAGGGATAGAGCTGGAATTGGTCAAATTCTGAATAGCCTAACCATACTTTCTTTGTCCCAGAACTACTAACTGTTAGGAGGGATATTTTGACACAAAAATCTGACACTGTATAAGGGACACTGTCTAAAATACATTCAATATAAACATTGATTTGATTGGAAGGGAGAAACAAGAAAGTAATTAAAAAATCTAAATCACATAATAATACGTTGTTTGTGTCAAGATATCTTTTCTCTTAAATTACTAAACTTTTTCAGTTGAAACTGAATAACTTTTTAATATTGGTACCAGATGCATTTGATTTGAATTTGTCAAGTTATCAAATTTAGAAGTAGGACAAGAAATGTCCAGACTTTCTGATGCCTGTCCTTGTATTTTGCACGAATTTGGGATTCATATTTGCATTTCAATACTTTTTTTTTTTATTTCACTGAAGAAAATTACCTTCTCATTCTTGTAACTTAGTTTCTTTTCTCTATTAAATTCTTTTCTCATTGTTGATCATTTATTCTGCAGGGGTGAGCACTTCAACTTCTACTGCTCCAGCAATTTCTAGTTCAAGCACCAGTGCAACCCAGTTGTCATCCGCTGTTGTAGTGGCTTCCAGTAGTGGGTATGCAGACATTTTTATATGAATGTAGTTAAAGTAATATCCTTTTTACCTTTCAGGCAAACACAAGCAAAATATATTTGTATTCATTTTGTTTTCACTCTGGATTTTCTGATTTAAGTTTTTCCATTTGCAATTTGTTACATTGGTAGCGAATTGATGCTAATTTAATTCTAAAATATATGCATTATACTCTTGTGTAAAAACAAATGAAGAATGCTAATGCTTATTTGAATATCAAATACTTCCCTACTTTTTTGCCTATAAGTTTCACTAGGAGGGTTTTGCATTGTTTTCTCTTATGTGCTCTGATATTCCAGAGTCAAGCCTCATAATTGATTGTTTTTTTGCTATGCTTTTTCTGAAGTAGAACTAATCACGCTTGTTATGCTGTTTATTGCATCTAGTTTAGTGCTTTATTTTTCCTCACTTTATATTTAATACAATGCTTTAAATTTCATTATATATGCACGAGGGCTGAGAAGTTACTAATAAATTATAGGACAATGTTTTTAATACTTCCTTTTCTATTTGTCTTGTAGAACTACTTCAACTGTCAGCACATCAGTAGGTGGTACACCAAAATTGCCATCTGAAATCACAGGGAAGACTGTGGAGGAGGTATTGAGCGTGTTCTTTTATTTGAGTAAGACTATTAGGAATGAGTTTATTTAATCATCCAAGATTTGTTCTGTTAGTAAATTAGAGCTATTAATAATGAGTATATTTAACTTAGAGCCTTAAAAAGAGACTGTATTTGATTGTTAATGAGTAAGACTGTAACCACCATTTTGTTAAATTATACTAAAGAAAGCACAAACCACTAACAAATATTATTTTCTGTTTGCAAATGTTTTCTTTTATAGTAAAATGAATGGTGATAAATTTGTTTGGTATTGCCCACACTAACATTCTTTTACGGATTCTTTGTTAATTTATCCTCTGTTTCTCTGTATTTCTCCTCGCTGTTCTTGTAACTTTATGTAGATTATCAAGGAGTGGAATTCCGAGTTGCAAGAGAGAACTGGAAAATTTCGAAAACAAGCTAATGCAATAGCTGAATGGGACCGCAGGATTTTACAAAATCGTGATGTTCTGTTGAGGCTTGAGGTTTGTGTGTCTTTAAATTATCCTTTTCAATGATTTCTATATGAAAACAGTTTAATTTAGCACTAATTTGTTAGTTATAGGCAGTTTATTTATGTAACCGCTATGTAACTGCTTTAGGTAGTCAAAATTATAAATATAAATATAGGGGGAAAGGGAAAAGGGAGGGGATTAGGTATTTTGTATGTTGGTTGGTTTGGGAGAGATGTCTCTAATTCCTAGAGGTTGGTTTATTTGCCAAATAGCCGGTTGTAAACAGTTTGCATTATTAATAACTGCCTTGCTGGAAGTTACATCGGCAGGCTTTGTTACTCCGTTCTAATGTTTCTATTCTTATTCTTTATTCACATGTTCATCATATCCCCAATATCTATGACTGGTACATTATCCGTTCTCTAGTATATTGCCCTAAATAAACAATCACAATACCAGTTTATATCATAATTACTAGTACTCTATAGCTTATTTATGTTGTTATAATATAGATTGAAGTGGCAAAAGTAGTTGAAACACAATCAAATTTGGAGCGGCAATTGGAGTTGATAGAGACTCATCAACATGAGGTAATTTGAGAACTTTTCTCTTCCTAAATTGTTTGGTGACCTTATTTTTCATGTATTTCTCGGGGTTAATTTCGTTTTATTGTTCTGGCTGAGTGTTCATAAAATTTAGTGCATGTATTCTATTTTTAAGAGCTCAAAAAATTCTGTGCATGTATTCTATTTTAAATGCTCTTCCTAAACACTTTCAACTTCTAGAAGTGTTTAGAGCATTAGCATTATTCAAGTTGCTTTATTTCTAGACCATTTAGAGCAAAGGGAACTGGTGAAACAGAGTAGAAACAGATGACAAGAACCCCAGCCAACAATATTCCCAAAGAAAACTGGTGAAACTTGTGAACCTAATAAAAAACTGTTCACATCAGAAGAGAAAACATGGTCGCATAGTGGGTCTTGCACGACTTTGCTAATGTAATCTAGAAGCAACACATACCGGGCTCCCTAATTAGTGTTGTCACACTACCTGAATGTTAGGATTTATCTTGAGAAGGTTCGGATGATTGAATGGAAATAAGATGCCATTGTTTTGTAATAGCTGAGTGAAACTGGGTTTTTTCATTTTTTGACTGACTAAAAATCACATTTTAGTAGGAAACTTGGATCCCATTTGGAACTAAACGTTCATGACAATTTTACATGCAAACATATCCTGGATCAATTCCACCATCAAGTGTAGATTGTTGGGAATAAGCTCCAGGGACAAAGGAAATCTTCAGTGTTTTATGATTATAACATTCTGAATCACAATTTTGAGTAAGTTTGACTACTATTCTGACATTTAATTTATAGATGAAGCTAGATGACACTGAAGATTTATCTTGAGAAGGTTCGGATGATTGAATGGAAATAAGATGCCATTGTTTTGTAATAGCTGAGTGAAACTGGGTTTTTTCATTTTTTGACTGACTAAAAATCACATTTTAGTAGGAAACTTGGATCCCATTTGGAACTAAACGTTCATGACAATTTTACATGCAAACATATCCTGGATCAATTCCACCAACAAGTGTAGATTGTTGGGAATAAGCTCCAGGGACAAAGGAAATCTTCAGTGTTTTATGATTATAACATTCTGAATCACAACTTTGAGTAAGTTTGACTACTATTCTGACATTTAATTTATAGATGAAGCTAGATGACATTAGTCATTTCATCTAACTTCTCTTCAGGGCTGTCAAATACTTCTGTATAGTATTAGAAGAAAATTTGCAATGTAATGTAATAAACAACAGCTATTCAGTTACCCTTAAAACCTTCACATAAGTATAATAGTTCACCATTTTAACAGTTCACCATTTTAACAGTTCACTATTGCATGTAAAATAATTCTGGATTGTGTTTGATATTGTGAAAAAGTCTCTTCATTTCTTGCTAATAGAGTTTCAGAAAGAGAGCATTTTAGAGAAGAATAGTATTGTATAAACTGATTCTCTAACTGAGATATTATAACTGAATGCTATTTATACTTAGCATTGCTAGATGATACATGACAGCTCAGCATAACTAACTCAGTTAGTTATGACTGACAACTAATTCTGTTACAATGCTGCCATGTCAGCATTGATAATTCTATTCTAAACTATAGCTATACTCTAATACTTGCAACCCCTGTATCAGGTTGATAAGGCCTTACAGAGCGTGGAAGAAGAGGCTGAACGTATTTACAAGGATGAGCGTGGGTTACTTCTTGATGATGAAGCTGCTTCCACAAGAGATGCAATGTGAGTTTCAAATTCTCATTTTTGCCTTTAAAATTCACATGTAATGTTGTAATACACTTTTCAAAAATCATGAGAATTTAGTCTGCTTGATTGTATGCTTTGTAGATGCTTTAGTTGTAAGAAATAAGGCATGTGAAATCAACAGGATAGACTAAGTCAATGGTCAGGTTTTAAAAACTACGACAGGGTCTTTATAACCAATTCCACTCAGTGGGAGGATAGCCTGGTAACTGTGCCTGTTTGGCAAAATCACGTCATGTAATAAGAAGCTGTAAGTGGTAGATACATGTCACTAACCTGATATAGACTGGTATTACTCTCAATTGGTTTCAATTGCATTAATTATTCTATTTAACTTTGAAGTGTTTTTGGACCATTGATTACAGTATATAAATTGGTCAGTTATTGTGTGTTCCGCAGTATAAATCACATGGTAACTTGGGAAGGATTAAGAACTGATAATGATATTTATGCCACTGTATTTAAATCACTCTGGAATGGTCAAACACTATTTATTTAATATGGTGGTTTATAGAATTCATAGCTATAAGATGTGGTGTTTTATGATGGTGCTGAAGTGCTACACGGCTTAGTCAGCACCTATTAAGAAGATTGAAGTTAGTAGATTTTCACTTTTGGTGGTTTCAGCACGTGTGGACATTTGTAGATCCAATATGGAAAGTATATTTGATGGTGTGTAGTTTAATTGTTTGAGGAAATGGGGGTGGGGATCAAAAAAAATTATATAGAATGATTTTAGATTTAAATGGGGGATCAAGAAAAATAATTATATAGAACAATTTTAGATTTAAATGATTTGTCTATATACATGATTTACAATAAGTCACGTTTTGTTGTTTGATTTGCGTGGTAGACCCTGCCTAGTGGAAAAAGACTAATCTTAAAAGGGATGTGACCTCATTTCTCCTTTTACACTTTCTGACGCATTCCTTCATCTATGTTTTTTTTTTGTTGCAGGTATGAGCAGTCGGAACTGATTGAAAGGGAATTAGAGCAAATGACAGAGCAGATCAAGTCAATTATTCATTCCCTTAACTCAAACCAGGTGAAGGTTGTCAGTTGATCTTTTGTTACATAAACTAAATGAAATTGTGCTTACAATAGTGTCTCATTCAGGGTGGAGAGGTTGAAGCCCCAGATGGAATGACTCCACTAGATGCTGTAGTTCGAATTTTAAATAATCAACTAACTTCTCTGATGTGGATTGATGAAAAGGTTTGTGTTTGTCAATGTTACACGCACCTACAAATATGTGTGTGTATAACTTTAGCTGCTTGTTATAAATATTTTCAATATCTTGTTTTTGATTTACTTTTTTTATTTTTAATTTGTATTGAGATTTTTGTTTACTATTTATATCTCTTTATTGTGCAATAGCCTAGTAAAGGTGCTTTTATCTTACAGTGACCTGTTCCCATAGATAAGATCGTAAGCAGACAAATAAGGGTAATGATTGCACTCATCTGTTTTAGAATATTGCTTAAGTTAAAGAGTTGTAAAAGCAGCGAATAAAGTTTTAGTTGTGTTAAGAGTCTCACATCGGACAATATATGATCTGAACATGTGTTTATGAGTGGGGGGCAATCCTCACTCTACCAACCGGTTTTATAGGGCTGAGTTACGCCCAATCACATTTTTTAACATGGTATCAAGAGTCTCTTTTAAGATCTGGTGGGCCACCTGCTATCAGGTCTCCGCTATCGAGCCATCCACCATTTATTTCTACGCTCCAGATGTTCAGTCTTGGGCATTAAGGGGTATGTTAAGAGTCCCACATCGGACTATATATGGCTTGAACATGCGTTTATAAGTGGGGGCAATCCTCACTCTACCAACCGGTTTTATAGGGTTGAGTTACGCCAAATCACATTTCTTAACAAGTTGTATTCTTCCTACTAGAATTGATTTCAGCAGAAGCATTTCCTTAGTAGTTTTGAGAAAAATTGCTTCTGAACTTTTTTTTCTTCGTGTCTGCCTGGTAGTATTTTAAATGTTCAGCATTTTCATTCTTATTTATGGTTGTCTTTTAAGTGATCTGCTTTTGACATTGATCAATCTACTTCAGGCTGAAGAATTTTCTTCCCGCATTCAGAAGCTAGCTAACCAAGGCTCTGCTTCAGATTGTGAACTGGTGGGACCTGGGAGCTGGATGTTTTGATATTTCAAATTCGTATAGTACATCAACACTTTCAAATACAATCTAGAGAGCACACATTTGTATGAAGCGGCTAGCGGAAATTGCAGAGATTTTGGATTAACTGTTAGAATTGTTATTACTATCAATTTTCCTATTGACTCCCTAATATCTCTTCTACAATCTTCTTTTAAAGATTGTTGGTTGTAAGGAATGTTGTTTCTTGTTAGATCCCTTGGTGAAAAAGTTGAGATCTGTACTAGTTTCCGCTGTGATTTTACTGATCTTCAAGTGCACTTGTGAATTTGCAAATAGTTTAAGTGAGTTCCTTCTAAACAAATGACTTTGTAATTGATAAACAAGGTAACATTTAAATTCTAAATATTGTAGCAGGTCATGCCATGCCTTTTATCTCTGTACTTGCTAAACAGAAATATGTTATTTGTGGGATTATGATTCTCCTGACGAGTCCATTAGAGGAAGTTCATTGAAAATCTTCACCATTCAATTTTCTTGAAGATTTTGACTGCATATAGATAGATGAGTGGTTTATATTCTACCACATGAGATCTGTCTCTTGTTTTGTTATTTGCGTATGAAGACTTGTCTGTCTAGCAGAGAATACTAGCATAATTGATTTCATATTACATGCCCAAAGCGTATGAAGCCTGTGTTTGGTTATGTGATCAATTCTATCCTGTCTAAAATTTTAAAATTTAAAGATATTGATGTCTGTCAGATGAAGATGAGGTGGTCCAAGTCCAACAAACTACATAAAATTTCTATTTAATAATTTAAAATGTGGGCCAACAAAATACATAATAATTTCTGTTTTATACTTTAAAATGTTGAAACTTAAATCTGAACTGTTAAATCCTGAACAATAACTAATACACCAAATGCATGATCGCACGGTCCATCTGACTACACCCACATTAAACTTGAGGTCTTTGGGATCTAGCCATGATTACAATCAAGAGAATAACAATGGAGAGAAGTGTAGATGACCTAACTTTTTCATCCAACTGTGTTACAGCATTTCCTGTTGCATTACCAATCCTAGGGGACTGAAATAAATCATTCACAAGTGACTGAAAACTTTCTATCAGCTCCAAAATCTTTCCTTTCATGATATCAAATATCCAGCTTATAATTTCTATGCCAATCTCTCTTTGTCCTGAAATCTGAGGCCTTTCACAATTAACTGAATGAAATAATTGATACAATGTTAGATAAATCATAGAAGTATATTGCATTATCAAAATAAACAAGTAATGGTTTGTACTGTTGAATACCAGAAAGTTATTCAACATACAGACCTGAACGAGGCAACTCTAGAAGCCTTTGATGCAACACATTTCTTATGACAGCATCCCAAATAGCTTCATCAGAACATAGTGAAACTACTAATCTCTACAAGTTATAGTCCCACAGATTCCATGGACATGGAAAATTTAACGATATCAACAACTAAAGTCAGAAAAGATTAAATATCTAAAGTGAAGAGATAAACCTTAACGGCAGGATCAGCTTGTAGCATCTGAAGAGCATCATAAAGTCTTTTATATCCCTGAGACAGCATAATCCTTGAATCATAAGAGTCTGGGATTTGCTGAAAAGTGATTGTTGATGATATTGCTTTCATAAACCTGATACAGAAATTTAAAAACCAACCATTTAATCCAATCCAAAAGCATAACAAGTTATAGTTGAGAATAAGCATGGAACTTACTCTTGAAGAGCTGAAATTGCATCTTCAACTTCTCTTTGAGATGGAACAGTCTTAAACACATGATTATAAAGACACTCACTTGATGTTATCTCTTGTTTTCTGCAGAGTTTACCGTTACAGCAACAAAAGGATAAGGTTTTATTGGTGTTGCTATCTGTTGGAAGTGAAGCGTTGAGATTGGAAGAAGATGAAGATGAAGATGAGAAATTATTATTGAGGGTGTTCCTCAATTGAGTTACAAGATGATCAACATGCATAGTTCCACCTCCCATCGATGAATGATGTTTGTTTTTTCCAATTTATGCTGATAAGTGATTGCAAGGTTTTCTATAATCTTATTGGCTACTGGGTGATGAAGTATGTCATCAATGATTGGTTGGGCTGGTACATAAGTCTAGGCCCAATGGAATTGTTAAGGTATGAATAAAGAAGATTTCTTTTTTTATCCTATGGACTTCTTTCACATTATGTATTTCTTTTTTTATCCTATGGACTTCTTTCACATTATGTGAGTCTTCTTATATGTCCTAGATTTCGGAGATATATCTTCAGACGCACTAAAATTCAATTGAACGTTAAAATATTTCAGAGATATATCTCTGGACACACTAAAACTTAAGTGAACGTTGAAATATTCGGATATATATATATATATATATATATATATATATATATATATATATATATATATATATATATATATATATATATATATATATATATATATATATATATATATATATATATATATATATATATATATATATATATATATATATATATATATATATATATATATATATATATATATATATATATATATATATATATAGAACAATTTGGAGCATATTATCGCGCTAGACTCTTCTCCCTCACTTTTTTTATTTTTATTCGCAAGTGTAAATTCTGGCAAGCACACGATGGATGTTATTCCCAAGGTTATAACATCCACTGTGACATCTGCTACTTAACAGCTAATACTCAGCAATAATAAAAGCAGTAAATAACACAACAATTGTTTACCCAGTTCAATGTCAACAACACTTACATCTGGGGGCTACCAAGGCAGGGAGGAAATTCACTATCAGTAGAATCAATTCAGAGTTAAACTTCTAGTTTAAACTCCTCACTTAATCTCTACCCAATGCAATTTCAGCCTAGAGACACTCTAGTACCTGAGTATACCCACTCACTCCCCTCAATCACACAACAATGATATTAAACAATTACAGAAAACAATATGAAGAGACACTTCATACACACCTTGATCTTGCTTCACAGCTTTGATCAAGAAACTCACACACTCTTGCTTCACAGCTTTGAGTGAGACACAACCTAGAATCTACCTATCCAATGCAAATCATCAACCAGACAATTGCTTGGAGTACAAGTATTCCTAGACAGAATTCACACGTGAAGACTAGCCTTCTTCACTTACAAGGACTCTGCAATCTGCACTCTTTCTTCTTCTGTTGTCAAGTGCTGCTATTCAGGATTGCATCTTCTGATCTTTATAGCAGCTGTTAGTCCTTTTGGGCCTTGGTGCATCAATTAGGTTTTATTCATAACAAACCTATTTTCAATGATCTGCACACTTGCCACTTAATTCAGGGTTATTCTAGTTCGCCTAGGGCTTCTAGAAAATCTTCTGATATCCAGCTTGAGCTCCTATTCTGTTTCCTGGTTTATAGATACCAGAAAAACAACCTTGCCCGCTGGATGTCATACGTTTAGTGTTATGACATTCTGTATGACATTCAGCTTAACTAAGTTAACTTATAGTTAACTTTCCCTGTACACACATCATTAAGTATGCGCTAACAACCAGTATTGTAACACCCCCTTCTATACCCCCAAATAAACAAATAAATCACGTAATAAAATTTCATCAGAGTAAAGTTGAAACATGGTATAAAAGAAGTATGCCACATCATACACAAAATAACATACAACACCTGCTCTATAAAAGACATGCAACAATGGGGTAGCTTTAACAGAGGAACTCAGTCCTTACTCCCACATCTCAATTTTTAGAATTAAAGCGGAAGATCTAAACATTGAATTACTTAAAAACATGTAATCATATAAATACGTATCATTCAGTTTGTTTCATCACATCATTCATGGTTACATAAACATTTATCATCAGATACATATACAAGATGTATCCCAAAAGAATACTATACAATCCTAACTACCCGGTGCTACATATCAGAGCATAACCGACCAAAAGAATGAAGCTATTCTTCACAAAAGACTTCCATAAAAGCTAATCTGCAATGCCTCACAGAGTATTATAAAACAACAGAACGGTGAGAAATATTATCATAATAATCAATGCATATAATTATATATATACACAAGGATAGAATACACATATTCCACATTTCTCACCACAATTCATTCATAACTCATCATACATTTCACAACATGTATAAACACACATGGATAATCACAAAACAGGTTTCATCATACACATATCCATAGTTCTCAACTCAACAATCCACACACAAACATAATTCATATAACAATGATATCTATGCTATGTGACCCAACACAACTCAATGCAACTCATGCCATGTGGTACCAACACTTGTTATCATTTTTCGGTTTTTACACTTAAACCGGGTCCACTCTTCTAGACCGATGACAACAAAAGTCTGTCCTCTAAGCTTTCAAACCCACTCTTCTAGGCTTGGGACAAGTCACTAGTCTCCACGAAACTAGCAAGCATTGCCTCTTGACTAAATGATGCATATGCAATCAACAACCAAATGCACTTAAGACCGTTCTCGAATCTTAATCTCATGCATTCTCAATAATTCATCACATAAGAATTATAACATGATTGCACACATAACATATTTCACATAATCAAAGTATTCATACTTTAAATCATCATCACCATATTATCAATCAATGCACACATATTCACTAATATGTTCTCATGCATTATTCACATACAATTACAAGCAATGCACACATATTCACAACATGTTCTCATGCATTATTAATAACATTGTGCCAACGGCAATGAACTCAATCACAATCATCATGCACTTTTAATCAATTTAAACAATGCATATATTTGTCAAAAGACCACATTTCATAATCGATTCCACAATCTAGGATTCACGCCATACAGCTACCCACAACGTATCACACCATAGTACACAACTATTTATTTCGATAAAGATCGAACACAATCGAACCAACAATCAACATCGGATAAAATCACAAAGAAAATGAAATGCTGTCACGCTCGCTGGCTTACTCGCCTAGCGAGTCCCTA